ATCGGGCACCGGCATACACACACATGCGACACTGTTCATTGATTATCTACTCTCGCTTGTTCTGTTACTGCCTTTACCTCTGACAACGGATTCCTGTAGGAGTTTGATAGGTCAGAGGAAAATAAATGCTTCAAGTATTCGAACTATCTACTTCTTCCCTACGCATTCGCACCTGAAAGTCAAACATTCGTCTCCATTCGTAGAATCCAGACTATACGCTGAGAAAGGTGTAACACCGAAAAAAAACAGTCACTCAAAGACGCAGCTACTTGGGTAGGGTGAAAAGCATAGCATGCTGGGGCGGGATGAGCCGTTGGGTCTAAATGGATGTTGATAACAGGCTCGAGGTCTATCTGTTAGGCGCGTCTCCGAGTGTGATATTCCGGTCGTGGCCGGTGGCTGGGATGCGCAGAAACGCCCTCGATCAGCACGCAGCAGACAAGAACTACGAGAACGGTAGGGCGACCGGAGACCCTGTCTGTCGTAAGAATCTTTTTTCTGGCGACCAGCGAGCATATCCTTGAGGAGAGGCGACCCCTCAGATAAACACGTTAGGTGTGCCGGGAATCCCGTAACTCACGAGCCTTCTCAGCCTCGTAAACTGCTCGGCCGTGTAGATGCAGTCAAGAGTCGATCGCGGGGCTGCTTTACTAGAAAACATCTGACTCAAATTGACGCACATTCCCCAAGCCAACGACCCGAAAATGTCAAGTCTGCTCTGTCGCGACCGCTACTTTTCAATATTCCAAATTACTGAAAATAATGACAGCGTGGGGTGGAATACAGACGATGCATTTTCCGTCTACGAAGGGAGTCTCGGTCATCGACGGTGGGAATTCTCAAGTGTGGTTTCCTTCCCACACGCACACCTCAGGACTCACAATCGTGGAGTTGAGAACATCGGGCAGATTCACGCATAGGCGACGAGCCGCGATTCCCTTCGATGGCTCGCAACGACCCCCAGCGTGATGTGATTAGAACTCACGGCTGCCGGTGGGGCGCCGTACCTCTGGTGACTAGAGCGTTGGCTGCACTCCTGGGTTCGAATCCCAGGGGAGCCGCCGAGTTTTTTAAGGTTGGATCAAAATAAAGACCCCTGGTTGGTCAATAATGCCACTCTACTGGGCAGTGAAATCGCAAAAGCAGACATGGCAACACGGCGACGAAGAGATCTGGCACATCTCGAGTGAAAAAAATGTCGCCGGCAAATTAGGCACCACGCTAACGGTTGAGCAGTCCTCAGTGCGATAAGATGGCGAAACGCGACAACAACCTGGTTGTCCCCCTGTGATTATAGCTACTAAATCCGCACTGTCTAAAGCTAGTAAAGTTAGAAAGCACCAGCACAATGGAGCGCAAAAGAAGCAGAATGCTGGGTCTGTAAGCAAAAGTTGTATATTTTCAGGCATAAAAAGATGCACAAAAGTCGCGTAATCACAGAAACGACGGAGGCGGGGGGGGGACAGAAGTCATAGAGGCAAGGAAAGAGACAAAAGGCGTGGGCAGGGCGGGGCGGTCATTTTAGCCGATAGCGGCCGAGGTTAGGAAGCATCCGGCAGCGATGGTTTGTGGCAAAGTAGAAAAAAAACGGCGAACAAATGGTGCGAAGAAAAACACGTCCGGCTTTAAATAAGGGAGTGGGAGGGGAGGTTAATTTTTTGCAGAATTTGCATGAACCAGAGCATAATCCAGGAGCTTAACGTAGGCCACGTCCTCGGCGGACCCAAATCGTCCGCCAGGCGCCGGAGAACTATCGCCGCCGCCTGCAGTGGCTGCAAGACTGCCGTAGATGGAAAGCTGTCCCAGCACAGCACCCACGGGCACTTTGCCCGACCACCGACCCGGCAGACGGGGAGATAGGGCCTCCAGGAAGTGCCACTCCTCCCCATTAATCACCACCGCGATTGACGTGAACCTGTGCGGCGGCGCGTCCAGACGGAAGAGGTGACGTCGGCCAGCCTCCAGATTGAAGCGGGTCGGTTCCAGCAGACGACAGCCCACCCACCAGTAGGTCTGGCGGGGGAAGGCTGCCACCGCGGAGCCAGACATCAGCGTCGGACGTCGAGCGTCAATGAGGATGCGATGGACGCACTCCAGGTGGTCGGCATCACTGTCCAGCTCGTAGGCCGCGTAGACGGTGAAGTAGAAGAAGGCATTTGCGGGCAGGCGGATGTGGTAGTGCGCGTTGACTGAGGAGGAGTGGGAGGGGGAGCGCGAGGCAGAGAGCAGGCGGTTCTCGAGGTGACTGCGCATCTGCAGGAGGGCGTAATTGTCACAGTCGGTCATCTGTTGGCTGGGGCGGTCAAAGGACTTCAGCTGGTGGCAGATCTGAGCAAGGGGGGGGGGAAATAAGGAAAGAATTAAATATGATGGGCCGTCAGTCAGAGACAACGAGTGGGCGACATGGCCAGCATCAATTATGAATACCTTATAGTGGACCAGTTCTGTAGAAGCGAATAGGCGAGTTTCAGGATGCAGGCCCTGTTAACCTCTCATCTGAGAACGTCTCTGATGATGGGATCGAGTGGGAACCCGAAATGTCAGGCCTATAAACTTCTTTTTCCCGTGATCGCACATTCTTCTCATGATATGAACTATATATCGCAAGTGCACGCAATCTAACGGTAAGCCGTACAGCCCCATAGCTGAAATGTCGCAAGAGACGGATCTAGTCCTGACAGCGGCCAGAATCAGCAAGGCACGGCCGGCGAGTGCGGGTCTCCACAAGAATGAATCCGCTTCAGCTGTCTGCACTGCCTACGCACATTCAGTCACCGCATGGGCCTGTTCGGACACATTCGCTTCGATGTAAGTCTGCAATAAACCGCCATATAGCAAACCCATCATCAGACATCTCCCCGAGCAACCCATGCACCACACGCGAAGCCATCCCACAACACTCATCACTGGCTCGGAATAAGTACCTCTCACGTAAGTGGGGGTGGGTTCTTGGTTCCCTCTCTATGGTAGGTGGGCTAACTCATGAAATGTCAACAGAAATTTCGAAATGTGTTCTCGTTTCAAAAAGATTAATTATGGTTGTAAAACTGATCACCGTCCATCACAATTCTATAATTAACCAGTTACCCCAGGGTGCCTTCTTTCGAACAAACGTATTTCCGACTGACTGCAAGAACTATACTCTGCAAAAAAATGACTACTTAATTAGCATGCAATTTTCTCATTGATTTTCGATGCCCTTGAAAATTCAATTATATTTCATGGAAAACATGCACAAAAATATTCAATCTTTTACTTATTCGGTAGATAATCACGTCTTCTTCCAACTTCATACTCAAAAGAAGAGTATAATTCGGTTTTAAAAAAGTTTATAATTGTGAGATTTTTTAATACCGTTAAATAGCCGTTCATGAAACGTCATGTATCTGCATTTACGAATGTGGCTTGTAAAGTTAATAATATTGCTCAAATCCACGGCTTAGTTTTATGAACCTCATATGGTCTCCTCTTAACACCGTAGAGAAATGTGTGGTTTTCCCTACGCGGAAAATATACGGCTTGTAGTTTGGAAACCCTGAATGTAAGTGTAACAGCAGGTCGGGTTCAAAATTATTCGATAATTAGAAAAGTTTTTTAAAACCGAATTATACTCCTCTTTCGAGTATAAAATTGGAAGATGTGATTTTCTACTGAATAAGTAAAAGAGTGGATATTTTTATGTCTTTTTTCATGAAATATAATTGAATTTTTGAGGGCATCGGAAATCAATGAGAAAAAATCATGCTACCTATGCAGTCATTTTTTACAGAGTATAGTCCTTGCATGCAGTCAGACAGAAGTTCATTCGAAAGCCTAAACCCTGAGGTCACTGGATCGTTATAGAATTATGCTGCACGATGATTGGTTTTACAACACTACTTAATTAATCTTTTCGAAACGAGAACGCATTTCGAAATTTCGATTGTCATTTCATGAGTTGGCCCACCTACTGTGAGTCGCCTCTACGACTCTCTAACGCATGTGGGATCCAAGCCGCCAGCTCCCTTGTGTGAAATCCGCATGCCCTGTGTGAGGGCCAGGTCGTGCGTGGCACACGCAGACGGGCTGTTTCAGCTGTCAACCACTGACGCCCGATCCCAGCATCAGTTAGTTGACCGGCTGGGACAGTCGACGAATGCACGAGACAGTGAGTTCGACTCTGGGGACTGCGTCCCCACGGTACTGTGTGCGTGTTCCTCACTATAAGCAATCTGACGCGCTTTAACATGGCGCGGTAAGAGTCGTGGCTTAGAAGGCTACCAACTGATGGGATGACAGGGACCCGAGCACCCCCCCCCCCTTCACCGGTTTT